TTGACCTTTCCAGGCTCTGAAGAAGGCGAAATCCGCCGAAACGTCAACTTAATCGTGAACAAAGAATAGTAACACCTCGCTTTTGCTCAACAAAAATACGAAGAAAATCACTTGATCAATGCCGAGGTTAATAGAAAGTCGGTCGTGGCTGTTCTGTTTCATTTTCACCGTTCTAAAAATTTTCGATGATGTCAAGATATAAGCGCTCGTGGAAGCACTGAACAACCAGAGCACCACTACTTTGGATCCTTCTCAAGCTATATACGGATTTAACACCAAGAATATCACCATTCTACAACGATGTTAACAACGATATCTCACTAATTTAATTTACAGCTACCCTCGAAAACATCAAGCGACAATTAGAGTGGGGAAAAAGAGAGATTGAAATTCAGTGGTCGGCAATAAAGCTGGCATTCGCTTCGCTCCCTTACAATCGGCATCTATGAAGTTGGCCAGATTCATACGTAAGGGTCTTTATGAATAATATTCAGTACTTCACGAATACTATCCCGATGTGAATATCGCTGCTTGATGTGAAAAGGTGGACCCATCTGACAGATTCCTGCATTAGAAGACGTTTGTCAGCTTTTGGAGTTCATTTTACTGTTCCCGTATATTTCTCGTTTTCATTATAAGACTAGCTCAACTGTTTAGCCTCGATGAATATCCTCTTATAACTTAAAAATAGAACATTTTTCGAAGTTATTCTGCTGCGATGTCTTGGGAATCGTTGACATCTCTGAAGACACCAATCTAACGCACTATAGTTGATGCTTAAGACTGCTAACACAGATTCGATGTGAACTCAACTCAGCTGCAAATCACAAGGCTATGAAGAATGCTCTGTTGACGTTTCTATATGAGGTCCAAATTCGATTCTCAAATTCTTCTATAGCTTCCGTATAGTTTGCTATGTTAAATGAGCGTCATAAGCGTACATTGAAGGAAATCTCCATAATCGGTGGGTTAACTGTCTGGAACCGTTCTTCGTTGTGCCATGGTTTTTTCAATAGCTGAATTTTTTTCGATCCATTCACAATTTCCGTGTTTCCCGGCTTTACCGAGCTTTTTGTTGAACCTGCTATACTTCATTTCCACTTTTCATTAACGAAACGGATGTTCGCATGCAATCGAAGACCTTATTACCCAATGTGATACGGCTGTGAACAGCACAACTAGATTTCCTTTAGAAATTTGGCATGGCACCAATGGAATAGTGGCATTTATGTAGTGCACTTGCAACGACGTTCTCATGAACGAAGAGTCTACTCCTTAGTAAACATGCGCTGGTATGCTGGTACCCTCTTTAACGCTGCTGTCTTATCCATGAAGCACAATCCTTGCTTATACAGCTGGTTAGGATTTAACCATTATTAACAGTTCGTAAAGCACGATGAACAGGCAAATTGGTCAGTATTGGTTATGGTCCTTTCAGCCACCAATCTTGAGCACAATTAAAATACCCGAAGTATTGGAATGATTTGAGATAGTTTCAGTTCTGACAAATGCTGTCATATAGGTTGAGAGAAGTATGCATGGTTCGTTGTTTTGAATTCGATAAAAATCTGTCGCAATATCAACCTCGAGTTGCATCATTTTCAACGATCTTGATCGTAACTCCGACTGTAGACGAATGAATCTGGACAAGGTTTCTTCTCAGCGAGAACTCTAGTGTTCGGTAAGGACGTCACAGAGTGGAAAAATTTGGAAGAACACTCGGCCTTTCTTCTCCACGTTATGAGGTGGGTGCCTCATTTGCTCAATTAGCTCCTTTGCACTCACTCCCAAGCCTGAGTCGCACTATGTTTTCGAAATATAACTACTGTTTCTGTGACCAGTTTCTCCCAACAATTTACCGTCTAATCGTAGCTGGTATGTGCTACTAGGTGCAGGACTGCGATATAGAGCGGTGTGATTCATCCACACAGCAGGGTCACCCAAGCTACGAAAGAGGCAGGAGTTTTTATTAGGAAGACCGGCTAACAGTATACCAATTACCGAGACCCACCACCGTCCTAATGGCAGACTTTGGCCAGGCTGACCTCGGCACCCCAGAAAACGACAGTAGCTAAGCCAGTAAAACTCCGAAAAGACGTAAATTATGGTGGCGCCCGCACAACCAGTGAAGACGAGCCACTCAAGTATCCAAGTAGCCTGTTCAGCGAGATTTATGCCACAGATCGCCTAAGGGTTTACTTAAGCTATGCTAATTCCGATAATACCAAGTCTCAGAGCCCACTTTCAAATTATACCTCTTTCGCTTGCGAGAATCTTATCACTCTCGTGATACCGATCATTATATGTAAGGGTACACATCGAAGTGAGGAGTTTGCATCGTCCTTCATAATAACAACACCTGCCTTCATTTTACAGAAGGCGTCACCGTATTCCCATATACAAGGTTTATATCTTCGCGATATATGCACACAAAACAAAGTGAGACTGCACCTTCGAAACTTAGTGATCTTCATTGTTGATAAAAGTATTAAGGAGCTTTTCGACAAATCCACGCAAAAATATTACTTGCAATAGCTTTCTGTTTTTCAACGATTTCTCCGCTTCAACCGTTTTCCGCCCATGATCCATTTCATCCGCAACTATCTGATCATTTTTTGTCCAGCTCTAAAATACAACTTTGTGTTGATAATAGTAAAACAGAGACATTTCCAAAATAATATGACAATCCACACCTCTCTCAGTCTTACCGTTTTGTTAAAACGTCGCGCTAGTTGTTCAATGCGTTTCTGTTTGCAATAAAACGGAGTAACCAACAGCGTAAATTAAGGATAACCAGGATTTGTATGGATAACCAATAATTGAATACCTCTGGAACTCTGTGATAACTACCAACTGACGGTCAATCTCTGCTCAATCCGATTTCTCCCAAGTAATTTCAATATCGTGCATCACCAACTCTGAACTAAAACACTTAATGAACATTAGCCATTTCAATACTGAAACAAAGCAATTACAACAAAACCGAAAGTACCTCGAGAACCATACTGCCTTTTACCCATAGTTTCTCTTTTTGCTTGAGTAATAAAAAAACAAAGCCACCTCGATTTCTCCTTTCTCCTTAGACCTTTACGACCACATGCACACAGAAAACATCTTCAGCGAACTTTGGTTCTAAAATTACAAGGTAAAACTGCATGAATATATCATATAATAGTAGGGCATGCTTCCTAGTACTATTTAATACCATCGTCTCTAATTTACCACATAAAAAACCCCTTACCAAAAGACATTTAACTGAAAAAAGTGAACATCTGTGGACAACCTCCACAGTGCGCTAACATCATTCGTACTGAAGTCTCAAACAAAGGTCATAAAGTTTATTCGAAAAACCCTTTAAAAAACCACTTCGGTGGTTTCTTAATGGTGAGGAATTGATTAAACTTGCCGAGCTCTTCTCTTATGCCATCCAGAAATGGGAGGCTTATGCATTCATAACAAACGCGACATGTTTCCTAATATTGCGCAAAAGCATGTGTTAAATAAGTACACATAGAAAATAGAACTAGACCGCCTACACTCAAGTTGTCCGATTGTCTCATAACTCCATATCACTGCTGACCAATTTCCCGACGATCCACAAATAAAATGATTTCTTCTGCTCAAACAGTACGTCGGTTTACTATGTTACTCATGAAGTTCAATGTAAAACACATTGTACGGTCTATTGCCCTCACATCTTAACGATTACCTTCATCAGTAGTAATTAGAAGAAAAGACATGAATGACCACAGAGGAGTGAATATTTGATTTAGGGCAAACCATCTACAAAGAGACAACAAGAAACATGATTTTTCACACGAAGGTTTAATAAGAACAAAACAACCCACGTTGACTACTCGACTAGCTCCAGTCAACTTCCGCTTTTGCTCTGCGAAGTGATGATAACATAGTGATACGCATGTAATGACTGAATTCTCATCTGAACGAGCCGCATCAACGTCTTCAACATCGAGCAGACTCCTAAAAATATAACGCTCATAAAGCTAAGCGTAGAAGCTGCTCATTCACTGGGCAAACGACAAATTTATGTACCTTCACAATGAATTTCTACATCAAAAAAGTTCCTCTAGAGAGTTGCTAGGAATGACAGACGGCAATTTCCAATTTTTCCTCGCTGATACCAAGAGCGTTAATTGAACTTCCAATACGATCACTAGGATTCAGTGCGTTCAAGTTCGCCAACCCCGGTCCAAAACGTCTGATTATCTGCGAGAAATCAAAAGAAAGAAATATGAGTAAAACCAATAATGGAGGAAACATGAGTAGAACCAATAATTGCAATCGAAAATTAAACCACAGGTTTATAACTGCACCTACGTGCATGAAGAAGAGCATTGAAGGCGAGAGAATTCATTCCACGTTTTGTAAAGTTTACTACCTTGACGTTAGAGTAACCAATCGTTTTCCGTTGGCACCATAATAGAAGTGCACCTTTAGATGTTTACGTCCACATCACTCTTCTTCAACCTTAAAGTAAATGACTTCTAGCTGTGAATGGGAAAAGACCTCAATCAAACTCAGTTTAGTGCAGAACTAAGAGAACAGAACAGTGATTGTAAATATAGCATAATTAGGAAATAAGAATAGGTAGAGAATAAGTACATAGAGCTCACGACTTAATTTACTGAAAACAACAGATCTCAATCACTATTGTATCGATTTGGAAACGAAGGATAATCGTTTAGATAAGGCGGAGATTAAGGCGCTCATTCCTATCCAGAACGTTTTCACCTTCAATGTTTTGAAGGTAGAAAATAGAAATTGATTGTCAGGCAAATAATACACATTCCATGACCACGTACATTTCCAAAAGAGATGTGCTAAAATAAACAAATAGTGATACTCTTAAACAAATACATCTATGAACCAAGTAATCAACGAAGTTGAATCTCAATTTCACCAATGACACATTAAAATTCTTTTGCTTTCCATACAGGCTTTGCTCAAATTGAGCAACAATAACAAGCATTTACACCTGTCACTAATTCTCACTTGTATGCAGTTTATGCAGCCTTGTACGAGAGAAACATTGCGAAACTGCATTTCTGGGACTAATCAGCCTCTTATGGGCTTATTAGCTCATAACAGTAGAGCATTCCTGAGTTTTTGGGTAACCTAACTGGAAGTGAACCTAGCCACAAGATCCCAAAAAATTATCCACGACAACCATCTCGCAACTAACAGTAAGCAACAAATGGCATTAAAACGAGAATGAGTCAGTGAAGTATATTCCATTTACCCGAGCACTAATGAAACTACAACTAATACAAGTGAAGACTAGCAGATTAGTATTTGTATAGAAGTTTCGATTTCTGAAGAATTGCCCAATTTCAATGCACTAAGACGGTAAGTTGAGTTGTAAATTGAACAAAACGCGTCTGGATGTTCTTGTTCTTTAAAAAATTCAAAGCCTTGTTGAGATTTTCGAAATTTTGCACTCGCATGCGGCCTATAAACACAAAGAAGTTTCAAAAACTCGTACGAAGAAAAGAGCTCCCACTGACAACAGTCGACTATAGTGGACATACTTGCTCGCCTTTCCGAGTTTTTCTCCAGATATGCTTTCAAGAAGCTTAATACTCCTTCACCAAGACCGACGAAGATATCAGCAACCTCCAACACTGTCTAAAACAGACAACATCTGTGACGAAATTAAAATAAAACTCTATTTAAAAAGCAGCTACTAAACACATTCCCGCAATTATATCACCTTGGGTAGAACAGTAAATCCAAAAGGAAAAAAAGAAAGACCGCAGATGTTCCTAGTAACAACTTCTCCAAAACACTTACCTATTTCTTCAAAAGTACAACACTTCAGCATCTTTTCATTGTTTTCGGCTTTGAGATCTTGCTTCAGTTACAATTGTGCTGACATCACTTACGCGAGTTATCAGGCAATTCGAGCGTTGAGAGTAAAGGATATTCATCAACAGTCTGCCAGTAAACTATTCACCTACATCTATCGCTCACACAAACACCAAGAAATTCTTTCATGAGCTCAAACTCCTAAGGCTATCAATTCTATCAGATGGAAACAAGTAAAACGTTGAACAACATCGCTGACGTAAAAAGTCTATTACACTGGTTAACAAGTAATAGAAACTGAACATTAACCGTGAACGAGTTAGACACCCGCGGTCCGGATTTTTGCAGATATCTTAACATTATTGTGGTTGCGAGCACGGAAGAGTTATTAGCCCTTATAGTTTATAGTACACTTGGAAAAAAAACTCAGTTGTCTACTGGTACAAGTGCTTGATGAAAAACTGCTCGAACCACTTGGACATCTTGTGCTGCCAACACTGTTAACCTAACCGAAAACTGTGATTAACGCAACTCATTTTCAATGACTTACCGTTGAAAACTCACTTGAGATTTTAAGTGTTTAAGTGGTATAAGTTCGATTGAATATGGTCAAACAGACAGTCATCTACGAAATAAGAAAACATTTTCGTCTTCTTCTGTAAATCTAGAGGACCAGAACATATAATTTTGCATTATAGACAAAAAGAGAAGATTAGCGCAGCAATTTTAAGCCAAAACTCGGCCAAATTGGATGTGAACAGTAGCGATAAAGGAAACAAACACCATTGCTATAACCAAGTCACATTCCAAAAGAAACATTGCAATCCCCGCACGGATAATTTAACGTATTCACACAGTTATGCACCCACCTTATGTTAAACAAACGCTGATCACACTACAACCCTACTACAACCCAAATATCACAAACCACTACGGAAACCAACTACTATTACCACGTCCCTGGCACATATTGCACTTCATTAGAACATAGGCAAGATCTATTCTTCAAACATGAATGGCTTATCCTCACTGATTTTTCGGGTCTCAGCATAATCCCCATTTCTTGCGAGATTTGTTGATTTAGCCGGTTGCCTAGAATTTCGAGGTTACCATGACTAAAGTATGCCCCAGATCTCCATCACCACTGGCAGTCGCAGGTCTTGCGGATCCGAGGAAGATTTGCCACCGTGCGACTAAATTACCACCAGGGCGGTGGTAGATCGATACTGGTACTGGTTTACTCTTAGTTACGCTTCCTGATGGAAGCGATGGACTCCCTCACAGTATAGGCGACCCTGCGAAGGGAGGAACGCCACCACTGTACGTCGCAGCCCGACACCAAGGAACACCTCTCAGCCTAGAAGAAGCGGTAAACCATTGAGAGGAACGACTAATGATAACAATGATAAATAACCTAACAAAACGAACATGTTGTAAAAAGAATAGTTGTTACTCAATTACAATTCCAAAGATAGACCAACAACATGAATAAGGCCCAGTAAACGAAATTCCGACCGATACGGAGAAATACTTCCATAATCACTGTCAAAACGTCACGGCAATGCAAGGCTCGTCACGCATTGGAAAACTTAGTTCCAGAACCAAAGAAATTGAAGCACTGCACAGTTTTCAATAAAAAAAAAAAAACTCTTTCAACTATGCGCACGCTAACAACCTTTTCTACGAAAAATGAGTGCCCTCTTCTCACTGTTTACCTGTTAGTTGTTGTACTTTCCTCCAAACGGTTTACTGCCTAGTCGTGGCTCAGAATTGTTTCTGGGTGCCCGGCTACGATGTACGGCTTGCGGTCCATCCTCGGCTGGATCTCCCAATCTAAGAAGGAGCCTGGCATTTTCACTAGGAAGTCCAGTTAGAAAGAAACCAATACCAAGATCCACCACAGTGTTGATATCACACTGGTCGCATGGAGGCAAATCTCCATCTGATCCACAAGGGCGGCGACTGCCTGTGCTGGTGATGACTAGGGCAGACTCTGGCCTTGCTGACCTCGGGACTCCAGGGAACCACAATGGCTAAACCAGCAGGCTCCTGGAAAAGTGGAAATTTTCATGGGGCTCGCACAATCAGTTTAGACGAGCCATCCAATTATCCAAGCAAGTAACTATGTGTAGTTTAATCACAATCTTAACCTTTTTATTTACTGCCTTTTCTTTTTAATGGCAGGGTATGTTGCGAAATATAACTCGTATATATTGCTGAGATATTTGCAAAACTCCGGACCGCAGGTGTATGCGGCGGAGAACGAACGCTCACTATTGTCCTTTCCGAGGAGTAGCGCACTTCACCACCACACCATCCGGGCCCTTCGTTTTGCCTGTCTCTCAGCTAGTTCTATTGATCTTTTGCTAACGCATACACCTGCAATCCGGAGTTTTGCAAATATCTCAGCACTATATACGAGTTATATTTCGCAGCATACCCTGCCATTAAGAAGAAGACAGTAAATAAAAGAGTTAAGATTGTGATTATAACTAAGCCTCAGCTTAACTGGGTTCAATGCCGATTTGGGCTCCCCAGATCAATCACGTCGACGGGTGATTGCCGATGGCAAAAGATCAATAGAACTAGCTGAGAGACAGGCAAAACGAATGACCCGGATGGTGCGGTGGTGAAGTGCGCTACTCCCCGGAAAGGACAATAGCGCGCGTTCGTTACCCGCCGCATACACATGCGGTCCGAAGTTTTGCAAATATCTCAGCATTATATACGAGTTATGTGTAGTTTACTTCTACTTATTTTTAAAAATATACCAATTCTTCAAACATCCCACCGAATGGCAACATGTAATCCAACTCCGAAAGCAACGGTCGATTAAAGAACTTCGTCTACTAAACGGATTAACACAACAGGAAGAATTTCACCTTGGCCTTATCGCTCTACTGATAGTAATTAGGCATTGCGACCGCAACCAATCGCTCTGTCTTTGCTACAACTAAAACAACTGCTTTCCGAAATCACTTTTTTATCCGATAAAACTTCGCTCACGTAAAAAAATATACAGTTGATCAAATTACGAAAACATTTTGTCCTCTCGTCGAGCGATAGAGCTTATAAATAACTGTTGTTACGAAAAAAGACTACATACAGGCACCCCTCTGTTACCTACTATGTCGTCTCATGCGTGAGGCTTAAAATCCCCTCTAGGGAAAAACCAACGCCACTCTTCCTTCTGATGTTCGCATTACAATAGAAAGCGCGAAAAAAGGCCCTAGTACCAAACAGCAACACATACGACTTTCTTAGCGTTTTAAGCCATAAACTACATGTACTTTCTGGCAACCCATATGATACGTCATCTTGTCGTCAAAAAGGTTCTAGAGCATTCGAAGACATCGCGCCTCTGCACCCTCCTTCAAAAGGGTGACCGAAGGGATCTTCGCAACTGTTGATTGATTTTCTTGTTGATTGTGCACAACAAGCTCTTCACGACGATTATCTCGGTGCGCGTACCAAGGGTTTTGAACGAACCACATCCATAGACCGTGTCCTAGATCACAAAGGTTTGTTCGGAATACTATCTGCTCCTTGTCTTAACCATTCGTCAAACTGAAGTTTGACATTATCGAAAAGAATCCAATCCTATCAGCTCTCGTCAATTAAAGCGAAGACCGGTTCTATACAAAAACGTTCAGCCGACTGCAGTCGTAACTGCAGTACGAAAATGCGCTTCCTGCAACGACCTTGCCATTTCCATCGGAAAGGAATTACGCAACGTGAAATTGCTCCGTCAAAGTTTACAGTTGTATTGCGATATAGTGGATAATAACATCGCTTGAATGGGAACGAGAAAAGCATAATATCAGCGGCAAATTCCTGTCTGTCTTCGTTTTGGTGATGATGTTGTCATCTTTTCGAGATGTACCAACGAAGTGGAGAGGATAATCAGTGAATTTAACGAAACAGGAAAAAGCTTTGAATTACTCATAAACGCAAGAACACACACTTGACGAAGAACCAACTGGATGGAGGTGAACAACTCGGAATGAATAGTTCTGTGCTTACAGAGACAACTTTGCATTTATGGCGTTTAGAGAGCGAAAAACGCGAATGAGGCAGCATGGAATGCCCTTGTAGCCTTTCGTAGAAGCCACTCATCAACAAATGAAGACGAAACACCGCGCTCGCTTTTCTTACGCAGCGGTTCATCCAACGTTCAATTACGTAGCCTACGTGGACTAACATTTCAGCCACGTAGAAAGTATTGTCCACTGCCCACAGAGCGCGCGAACGAGTTATTAGAATACAGCCAAAACGCACAAGGTCTAGCCAGAATGCGTAGCTCAAATCTTGGAACCTATACGGTCTATGCGATCCAGAAGAATATAGAACACAGAGGATAAACAAACAGCAAGCAAGAATTGCACTGTGGTCCTCAAAAGAGTTTTGGCAGAATCATCTATTTGATCTTCACAACGTGTTTTTAACTGGAAGAACCAGTCAGCTGCAAAACAGCTACAAACGCTTCATGGATCTGGGTATAATACTCGCACAATTCACCATACTCGAAGCCAACCATTATCACAACCGACGACGACGATGGTACGAAACGAATGGGGAAGTTGCTGGAGCTAGCAATACTTACGATGACAGGCGGCCCCGTATCTAAGTAAATACATCTCCATTATGATTTCCAGTGATCTAAAATACGATGAACTAAACAAAGTAGAGCATGTAGAATGAGAAAAAAGGTAACAGGAAACCTTATTATTTAAGTCTATAGATGTCACAAAAAGACCGACTTTCTGTATATCTCGGCATAAATCATCGATATATATATATATATTTATATTACATATTTGTACAACAACGGCAACAACGAAAACTTATACCAACCTCGCATCAGTTCAACAAGCGCAGTACCTAAGAACACATGAATAGATTCTGTAGATAGTTCGGGAACTGCATAACATCTATTCGACTGTTCATTGCACCCCGTAGCGGCTGTTGACCGATCCTGTCAGTGATCAATAGAATGTTTTCCACCTAGGCCTAATTGTAGTGAAAACAAATACTGTAGAGCTACTATGCTTTTAAGCAGGAGTATACACGGTTTTTTAAACAAACATCGACCCTGTCATTAATGTCGTTACATTTCAAACCGCTGACCATCATATTACCTAGACCCATATTTAATTAAAGATTATTTCTCTCAGCGAGCAAATCACAGTTCTTCATTGTACACTTCCAGAAAGGATGCCTTGACTCGAATTGAAATCTAGAATTTTCTGACCAATCCAATCCTGAAAGAAACCTAAACAAAGTGAAATGTCTCACTATCTAATGTAGGTCCGACAAGTTGCCCCTCGACTGGAAAAGGAAGTTTACAGCTCGCGGAATAAGATCTTCACATTCATCTCTACCCAGCAAAATGAATGGTGAAAAAATCTACAGATCCAATAAGTGAATGAATAATCGAGTGAAAATAGCTGAAACTCACTGATTACCATCACAAGACAAAATCTGCTTGATACAAATCTAATGGACAACTCATAAATTTCGAAAATTATATAGCTAGTGGGATTGGCTGGGAATAAATACCACCTCTCATCATGTGCGTCTAACCATTTCCTCTCCGCTCGTATGCTATAATAGAAACATTGTACCCGTGCAGAGAAGACTAAAAATGTGTACAACACAGCAGTTCCGTCGCTGAAACTAACAGATACAACTACACACCGTGATTTGTTCTTGTGTGACGTTGAACACACGCTCTTGGCTTTTATTTGGATCAAAATCTCCTTGAAATTCGAACCCTTAAGATACCCTTCCCTAAAATGATCACAAATAATGAAGTATTGCACCGGCTATAAAAACAATAAAAAATAAGGAAAAATACTAAAAGCATTAACGACTAATGATAATAATGAGAAATAATCTTCAAAAGGTCTATCGCTCAAACGTGGATTCGAAGTGTTTCTAAGTGTCGAACTACAATGTACAGCGAGGCTCACCGTGCCATCTAGCGTGGTCTTGCAAGATGAGGAGTCTACCCGTCAGGAGGCCCAGGTAAGAGTAAACCAATATCAAGACCCATGAGGTCGATGGAAAAGCTGTATTTTCGTAGTGTAGTTCCGATAACAGTCGGATAGAGTCCTTATGTAGGATGGGTCCACAAATCCACGCCTTGCTCGACAAGCACTGATAGGGTTGCATTCGTTTCGACACTGTCAAACGCTTGTTCATAGTCGACAACGGTTAGGACTAGAGCCGGGTTGTATTTCCGACAAACTTCGATGACCCTGGGCACACTTGAATGTGGTCCATGCAGCAAAAACCTTGTCGAAATCTTGCTCGGTCCGATGTTAGCGCCTCATCCAATGTCCTTCATATGGTAAGAGGATAATCTTTGTGAACAGCTTGTAGAGTACACTCAACAAACATATCGAACGATAATTATGAAGATCTCTTCGGTTCACCTTTTTTAGGTAAGATTACCGTGTGCGACGTTCTCCACTGGTATGGGATTTTTTCCTTTGGAGGTAGGCTGTCAAACGGTTGGCGAGAAGTACATGTACATTATAGCTTCCAGCCCTAACAAAATCGACGCTTATATTATCAGGTTATGAAGCCGTGCCTGTCTTCATGCTTTCTATCGTAACTCGAACATTAGAGGGAAGAATTCTAGAGAGATTTTGCCCTGCGGCTATTTTAGGGCCTCGGATGGGTATTGTGGAGCGGAAAAGGTTGGCATTAAACGTTTCCGTCATTAGTTCCGTATCATTTCAGGATGTTCTGACGATCCCATCGTTGTTTATAAGGGAGGACAGTGAAACATTATACCCACACAAATACCGACGATATCATTCAGACTGCTTCTTTTCTTTGTTACATCAAGTAGTTTCTTCTGCCTGTAGCCATGTAGAACATGAAGCTTTTCTGCAACTGGCAATTATTATTTGCTGTGTTAAACGTGTTGCAGTAGGATCAAGCCTTGGCATCCTTCTATTTTCGAGCTACTCTTTCGCAGCGGCGGAGATGCGATCCGTTCTTCTTGCTTGAGGCACTGATGCGAATTCTGCACAGCTTTTCAGTCCTTTGACAAGCAGCACGTAGTCTTCGGTCAGGTCTTCTTTAATCTGATAGTCACGTTTGGATAGGACTTCGTTCAGAATGTTCTCGTCGTACACATCTAGACTTTTTCCGGGTGGTCAACGAAGAGATTTCCTTTCCAGCTTGCGGCTGAATCGAATATTCGAGCGCGGTGATCGGAACCAGTACAGAATGACTGGACTGTCGATGTGTCAAGTAGGCACCAACTTCTGTTTGCCAGAATTCTGTCGAACTCCTCATGAGTTATGCTGTTAGAATACTCCCATGTCCCACGAGTTTCCGTAGAAGAGATGTGTTGCAGGCGAGAGTCCTGCGACACGGTTTCCATTCTCAATTCTTTTTCCTAATCTAAAATTTCCGCTTCTGTATTCGCTCTCGTTGGCCTTTCCTAGTATGGCGTTAAAGTCTTTTCAGACAACAAATTTCTGATAGTAGAACGCATCTGAACCGTACCCATCAGCTGCTTCGGTCGGTGAAAAGCAGTTGATGGTTGTGGTCTTGTTATGACCGTCAGTTGAAGACATAGGACGGCTATTTAGGACGGGACGGATATGCGAGTTGGAAAGATCTCGCATGAGCCGACGAGACAGACACTAGACGGGTAAACGACAAAGCCTGCGCAGCCGACATTTCGTGACAGGCCCTTTTCTCCACGGTTGGCAAGGGCGCCGTTGTTTAGTTGGCGTATATCGGGAGCGGATTGATTTCGTATGCCCATTTACTCTCAATGGAATGAATATCTCCGAATGCTCCAGTTATGCCTATCTAGGTCGGAAAATCAATATGATGAAGGACTTAACTCCAGAGCTGAGCAAAAGAAAACGAGAGAAGCTTTCTAGAGCATCGAGGATGTAGTGAAGAGAACGAGGAACAGCCAACTGGGTGCCCACCTCTTCGACTCAACGGTACTTTCTGCCCTAACATATGTGTCGGAAACCTGGTCACTGCGTAGCTGCGGTCACTGCGGATGAAAGGCCACTCAGCGTTATCGAATGTGCAGTCAATCTTAAGGATGATGTTAGGAGTATGTTAGGAGTGACATTCCGCAGACACCTGTCGTCCGGAGCTTTGCAAATATCTTAGTATTATTGTGGTTGTATTTCGCATTATACTTTGCCGTAAAAGATTATAGTAAGCAGTAAATAAAAAGTAGGAACTATCTAAATTCGACAACACAGAAATAGTTTCCCGACCCAGTTTCTAGTTCAACCCATGGAAAACGGATTTCTCTGCATCGCACAATCTCCCTAAAGAATATCTCTGCAATTAGATCTCCTTGTGTACAGACACAAACATTCTAGATAGTAGTGAAGGTATAGTAGGATCCCTGTGTTGTAAAGCTGGTATTCAGTATGACTTCCCAATAGCTGCGAAGAAAAATGAAAGGTCGGTTGCACGCGGCAAAGACACTAAATTAGGGGTCGGACTCCAAATGTGGAGGAACGAGCTCAGCTCCAAGAAAAAATAGTGGACTGATCAAGGACCGTAACCCAACTTTCTTTGTTGTCTACAACACCAACATGAACACCTTCCCACACGACTTTTAGGCATCCTCGTTTTCGCGAAGCACTCGTCGACTTTGACATTCCGACTGATAATGGCAAGCTATTTGCAAAAATCTTCTATTTACGACTTACCTTAACTCTATTGTCTTGTCTATATGCTGCAATATTGCTGAGCGCTTGTGTTTTCCTTGTTAATACAGTATTTGTTTTACTCATTAGATTGGGAAACAATAAGCAACCTAAAAAAAGCCATGAGCAGTGGCAAGAGCAGAAATGACGATATATCAAATCTTACGAAAAAACTTGAAATTTGTAAAAAAAAAAAGCGATACTGGCACGTTTATTGACCATTCCAAGCTCTACAAACAATTCATATAAAACGAATAGCTGTTGAATGTCAAAGAAAACAATGTACGAGGTAGAGCGTAACTTCGTCCAATGACTGCTTAGTGTAACTTTTTGAAGATTGCTGCAAGGACAACAATGAAAGTAAGTGAATAATAGGATAGATAGAATACAGCATAGAGGATTCGAGTTGATAAATCACTGAGGGATGAGCCATGCTTCTGACTTCACTAAACATCGTTAGAGGTGACTGAATGCACATTTAGTCTATACAGTGACCAGCGGTGACACACCGATATATTGGAGCAGTGTTGCTGTTCTTCCAGAAGGTGTGGCACCAATTTGTAGACCCTCAAGGAATGGAATTCCTAATGTGCTTAGGGCCCGATTACAGAGCCACTCTAACCATTGCGCTACACGAACCCGTAGATGAATAATAGGTGGGAAAACTACACAGTGAAGAAGAAGCAGAAAGGAATACAGGACGGAAAAAGTAAACGTAGGAACAATACATAACCCACTTCAATAAAATTCTGTAGACATAGTAGTTGTTTCAAAATACATAATTTGCTATAACTAAATTTTAGAAGTAATAAGATGAGTGAGCCGCGCTGGGTGCCAGAAAATAGTCCACCTATCTTCTTGCATCTGCAATGAGACCGTTATAAAACGGTATTCACAAACCTTTGGCGCATATTCACCTTGAAATAACTTCCACGAACGTATTTTCGCGATATATATATATATATATGTAGATCTACCCAAATATATATATATATATATATATATGTATATGGCGACATGTAGATACACTTGACAAGGATCGTTCCCTATCGACATAAGTGTAGATATAAATTCACTAAATCTTCATTTTTAGTATGTATTAATTATACCCTGTTTGTGACATTATCGTTGCAATCAAGCCATTCCTGCTTTGTTGCGTCCAAAGCGAAGGAGCAGAAATGGCCTAAAGTAAATCAATACAACCGTGGAATTCCTGCCATTCTTCCCTTCTATTCATTCTTGTTCAGATTTACACCTTTCTGTTCGTGTTGTTGAAGTGTTTGATCTAATATATTACATATTGATGTACCCTTCCAGGCACTGAAGAAGGCGATGCTGCCGAAACCTCAGCTACCGTTGTGTTGTACGTGTTACATTTGTGCGAAAGTAAACGTGGCTGACTAACAACCTCGCGATTGCTGTAAAAAAGAGAACAACAGATCTATAATCCAATGCCAAAGGTTGATATATATATATATATATATATATATTTGGGTAGATCTACATATATATATATATATATATAT